TCCCAGAAAACCCAACGGTTCATACTCTATCTCTCTCTCTCTCATTTATTCAGAAAGATGATGTATTTTGATTCGAAAGATACGTTGGCCATGGTTGAGGAGCTGAGGGCCAGTTATAATTCCGGCAAGACAAGAAGCTATGAGTGGAGGGGTGTCGCAGCTGAAGAACCTCGTGAAGGTGGCGGAGCACCACGAACAAGAGATCGTCGATGATCTTCGCTCTGACCTCTCTAAACCTAAATTTGAAGCTTACGTTCATGAGTTCTTCTAGATCTTCAACGCGGCCCAAGTAAAGTGTGCACATTTTTCCATCGAAAATGTTTGGTTTAAAGAAGTCTCATTTGAAGGCTGCTAAACATATCACACTGAATTCTGTACATCTGGCGTCCTCTGACTTAAACGCTTTTGAAGATGCACCAGTTGGACAGAATACAGGCACTGATCCATTCGATGGTCAGCGAGGACAGGAGAAGTTTTCTTCGTATGCATACAAGACTGTTTTGACTGAGAGGAACAAATACAAGACTGTCAACCCCACCTCCATCCTCTTCAACGCCGACTAGGGCTCCGTTGACCTCTCCATCAACACCAATGACAACACACCCATGATCACGCGCCACCTACAACCACGCCACCTGAAACCGGTGAGTTCGTTGCGGAATGAGCTCGGTTTGTTTCTGGATGTGAGTCGGGTCGGGTTCACGGATGAGTTCGTTTCTAAAATGAAGCCTTGGTTCCAAGCGGTTTTCAAGGACATGGAGGAGCTGAATGAATAGATCGGAAGCTCCCACACACCCACGCAAAAAAGGGTAGCGAGAGCGAAAGAGAGAAAGGCGAAGATAAGTTAAGGTCGGCGACAGCAGGGACGAAGGGAGGGAAGAAGAAAGGAGCGCATCAAGGTCATGGACATCGCCTCACTGGCGAAGATCCTCCAAGAGCACATCAAGGTCGGTGGCAAGGCCGGTGCTCTCGACGACTCCGTCACCGTCTCTCGTGAGAAGAACAGGATAACCATCACCTCCGACTCCAACTTCTCCAAAAGATAATATTAATGGGATGCATGGTGGGGTGGTGCAGCCCACAACCATGATGATGATGGGCCAACAAGTCAGCTCATCCGAATTCAGATCTGGCAGTAACTGTTACGTTTTATAGGAGAACATGCAGGAAATGGAAAAGAGAAAGAAAAGCAAAAGAAGAAAGTAGAAAGAAAAACAATTAAGTGAGATGCGGCACAAAAGCAAAAGACAGAGACGCAGTGGAGAGAAAAGAAGAAAAGCAAAAGATTTTCCTATTATTATGATTCCTTCTGTCTGCCAGATTAAGAGACAGAGATAGTGTAGCAGAAAAACACAAGCAAAAGCAAGGAATAAACACCCACACTGCAAAAGCAAGGAATAAACACCTCACCAAAGTGATGTGGTTTACTTTCCTTATTTTTGAATGATGTAATTTATTTTTCGTATCTTTCGAGGATATCTATATAAACCCCATCAGAGGGTAATAATAAAAAAAAACAAAAAAACACAAAAACACAAAAACAAAAACGGCAAAGCCCAAAATAAATGGGCTAGAATGTTGTGTGGAGGGCGAAGGCCCATAAGCCTAAAATAGCACCAACCAGGTGATCAAAAGTACGCCCAGTACTCCAAAATTATTCAGCAACCTGCCACTATTACCACCAACAAGGTAATCAAAAGTACGCCCAATACTTCAAATTATACATGAGCATTACTCATGTTAATCATACAAAAACATTCATGAGCATTACTCATGTCAATCATACATAAACATTCATGAGCATCACTCATGTCAACATTCATGAGCATCACTCATGTCAACATCCATGAGCATCACTCATGTCAATCAACATAAACATTCATGAGCATCACTCATGTCAATCAGCTTCAAAAGCTTCATTTACAAAAGCTTTAGCTTCAAAAGCTTCATTTACAGAGCTCCAACTTCAAAAGCCTCATTTACAAAAGTTGTAGCTTCAAAAGCTTCATTTACAGAGCTCCAACTTCAAAAGCTTCATTTACAAAAACTCTAGCTTCAAAGCTTCACTTGCAAAGCTTCACCTACAAAGCTTCAGTGCAGGGTATACAAATACCGCCTCCGAACAATCACCACTTCGGCCCATACATGGATTCAATTTGAAGTCTCCAGCCAACAGACTCTATTGACCGAAGACTTGGGGGACTACATTATACACCATATATTGGGCCTCAACTGGGCCTCATGAAAAATACTTGGGGGACTTAGCCCATTATTTATGTATTGAGAAGCGAGCCCTTATTCTATAAAAGGGACTCCTCACTTTCATTAGAGAGCATCTATTATTCATGTACTGAGGAGCGAGCCCTTATTTTATAAAAGGGACTCCCTCATTTTCATTAGAGAGCATCACCGCCAGCTAAGCAACCACCTCGCCACGAGCATCACTCATAACCCATCACTTATGTATTGAGGAGAGAGCCCTTATTTTATAAAAGGGACTCCCTCACCATCATTGGAGAGCATCGCCGCCTACTGAGCAACCGCCTCGCCGCGAGTATCAACTCTAGCCCATCATTTATGTATTGAGGAGCGAGCCCTTATTCTATAAAAGGGACTCCCTCACCTTCAACGCCACAAGCCGAGCCAACCAAGGCAACATAAGCCAGAAGCAGAGCAGCCTCGCAACATGTGCAACTTCTAGTTGAGCATCATTTCACTTTGAGCACCGCCTCATATCCAGTATCAGTTCAAGACGACATCTAGTTACTTCGGCCCACACATGGACTGAATTTCAAGTCTCTAGCCAAAAGACTCTCTTGACTGAAAACTTAGGGGACTACTGTTTATACCATACTTAGGGCCTCCGTATTTAGATCTCGTATAAATACTCGGGGGACTCAAATGTAATTATGTAATAAATGAAGGGGCAAATATGTAATAAGTGATGAGCTCTTATTCTATAAAAGGACTCCTCACTCTCCTCATTGAGAGAGGCCAATTCCTAGGCCCTCTCACCCTCAGAAGCTCTCTCTCACAATCCTCTCAGAAATACAATAATCAGTGTGGACGTAGCCCAAACCTTGGGGTGAACCATGATACATCTTGTGTTATTTACATTACTTGCAGATTCACGGTCGGATTTACGTTGTTCCAAGACCTCCGGTTTTGTGCATCAACAAGTTTGTACTTCTTTACTTTTTAAACATTTTCCTTGTACATACATTTATGTTTATTTAAATAAATTATTTTTCTCTTAATTGCAATTTAATTTTATTACAAAATTTATAAAAAAAAACAAAATTTAAAAATTAAATTTTAAAAAAATTATTTTTGCGCGACGAATTCCTTCGTCTCGTAATATTATAACGACTAACAATGCTTCGTCACGCAAATGTAAACTGTCGTCGCGCAAAGTTTCGAGAGACGAATACTAGTCGTCTCACGCTTGTATTTTGGTATTTTATGTGACAAACACATTCGTTCCTATAAATTTTGTGCGACAAAGGCTAAACCATTGCGCCATGTTTTTGCGACCAATGCTATTTTTCGTCGCGTAAAGTCTTTCTTCACGATCTTTGCGCGACGAAGTTTCCGTCACGCAAACATTTGTGCAACGGAATGACACTTTGCGCGACCAACTTTTGTGCGTCGCGCAAATAGTTTAAGTGGTGGGTATATATATAGTAGGGTTATGTGATATCATATGAGAATCGTAGTTAGGTTTGCTAGGGTTTGAATGTGGCCTACACTGGCTTGGGTCACACGTCTCTGCACCCTTATTTTGTGTTATGCTGTATGCATGAATATTGTGGTCTCATGTTCTATTTTATGGTTCCAGAGTGTAAAATGCATAAATGTACCTCCAGTACTAGTTGTGATACACACAATAACTTTATCATGTACGCCGTATTAGATATGTTTGATCGTGTTATAACAGTATCACGCACGTCGTACTATATATATTTGGTCATGTTATAATTGTATCACATACGTCGTGTTATTAGTTTAACCCGATTAAGGGTTCAACTGGTAAAGACAGCATCATAGAGGATGAGAACAAACACCACCGATAATTATTTTTCATTTGCTATTGAAATTTGAGTTCCACAAGTTATGATATGTACACAAAGATGAAGAAAACGAAGAAGGAAATTGTTGTAACAGGTTCGGTCCTGACACACTTGGGCCTTTATGTAAATCCAACAAAATTCAGGACCGCCTCTCAGCCACGGGTTCCCTTATTCGACGTCGTATTCGTCCTATCCAACCAAACAAGAAATGTTGAATATGAGATTTTTCAGTGAGTCCTAAACACATGACGAACACCATGTCATTATACAATTAGAGATAAAAAAAAATTTGAACAAATGATATTATCTACACTAATGAGGTGAGGGATTGCACTAAACCTTACAATGGGCAGCAACAGTATGGTTCAAATTCGTCTTTGGCGAAAATCAAACATAAAACCTCTCATTTACAAGTGAAAAGATACCATTAAACCGTAATAGTAAGTGACGGAAGAAAGTTTTTTATTCTAGCGTTTCTTCAATTGTATAATGACATAGGTCTGGACTATGTTTTGAGGGGGAAGAGATCCTCTTTGGATCTCTCCCACCAAAGCCACCAAGTCCAATAATCTAGACTTTTGAAATTTGATCCAATAGCTACAAATAGAGGGTCGCTTAAAAAGTTATAATAATTTTAATGATTGGATCAAATTTCAAATGCTCGAATGATTGGACTTGATGGTTTTGGTGTGAGAGGATCTCTTCCCGTTTTGAGTACACTGAAAAACCTCTCGTATTTGTTTTCATTCAGATTACACTTTTCGTTCTTGGCCTCGTTACGTGGCAGCACACATGGCCCGCTGACGCTGGAATCTAAAGAGCCGGCCCACTTCCATAATTTCATACCAGAAAATGGCGCAAATTTAAAAAAGTTACCGTTAGCCCCCGGACGGACGGAATAACAAAAAATAAAAAAACTAGCCGTTGCATTTGCACTATTTTACTTTTAGTCGATTTTCTCAAAGCCCTAAAATCTATTTCTTCAGCCTCCTCATCGCGGACAACTCAAAAACCTCTTTTTATTCTCTGGAAAGTTCAGTATTTTCTTTCTTGCCAAACAAAAAGTTGGGTAGAATCTTTACTGGGTTTGGAAGCGCATCGTAGTAATGGCTTCAAAAACAGCGACCAAAGATATCATCACTCTGCGTGGCTCTGCCGCCATTGTCAGCGAGTTCTTCGGTAGTTTTATCATCGATTGGATTTGATTCTCATTTTTCTTTGTTGGGTATTTTTCGGTTTCCGAGAAATCTTTGTCTGATCTCTGTGTTTTGTGTTTTTTCTGCGTTTGTTCTTTCAGGATATTCAGCAAACAGGTAATGGGCATGGGATATTGGTCTTTGATCTTGTTGTGTTATCTTTTTTTGTGCTTGCTTCATTTGGGATATGTATTTATTGGATATTGAAGTTAATGTTGGTTGGAATTTTGGGTATTCTTTTAGTATTCTGTACAATCGAGGAGTGTATCCTGAGGAAAGCTTTGTGAAGGTGAAGAAATATGGATTGCCAATGTTGCTTACTCAAGACGAGGGCCTCAAATCCTTCATTGCAAACCTAACTGCCCAGCTTTCTGGTACTTTTCTACCCTTTTTGGGTCTAATTTATTTTAGTACGTTGATACCGAAAAGTTTGACACGATGTACTTATTCATTTTGTAAAGAATGGCTGGAATCTGGAAAGTTACAGAGAGTTGTTCTGGTCATAATGAGCAAGGCCACCAGTGAGGTTCTGGAGAGGTGGAACTTCAGCATTGAGACCGACAGTGAGGTCGTTGAGAAGGGGTAATTCAATTCAATTTTGGATTATATTTAGTCCCCCGTGTTGCATGAAACTACAGTTTGTTTTATTCATTTCTAAATCATGTTTCATTGTTTTGTTATGTTTGATTTAAGCATGTCGAGGGAAAAGAGTGACAAGGAAATCATGAGGGAGATTCAAGCGATCATGAGACAGATTGCTTCGAGCATCACTTACTTGCCATGCCTTGATGAACCCTGTAAGACAAACACACTCACTTATCCAAATGATTTACTTATTCATATTGGTATTCATCATGTTCATTTATTCGATTGCTTGCTTTAGGTGTGTTTGATGTGTTGGCGTACACGGATAAAGATGTTGCAGTCCCATTCACTTGGATCGAGAGTGATCCGAAACTGATTACAAATCCAGAAATAGTGAAACTGCATTCCTTTGACACCAAGGCAAGTTCAAGAAGTTGCATTCCCATTTCATTATTTTCATTCATTTAGAAATCTCTTCACCATAAAAAAGGAAAAATGCTTTTGTTGCTGACAGTTAATTTGTTTGCTGGATCATGCAGATCCACAAGGTTGACACTCTAGTGTCGTACAAGAACGACGAATGGGACGAGCAGTAAGGAGAGGAGGGGGATGGTAACCAGTATTAATGTTTCGTGGACTTTTGGTATTGTGAATCTTTTATTCACAATTTGTTACAACGGTTGGGACGAGGATGAGAAATTGTGTACTGAACTATCCGTAAGATGTGTTTCCGTCTTGATGTTTTTGACGTGGGTGTTGGATGTATAATTGTATGTTGGTGGGTGGAACGCGTGTTTTGAGTTGTATTCATTTCGTACCAGACAAGTCATCGAATGTGTTAGCTTTCATATATAAAAACAGATTCTGTTGTTCCCATGTTCTTCGAAATGCAGCACACACAAATCACTTAAATCGCATGAAACAACTCACTAATGTTTCTGCTTTCAGCATATGCTGGGCCCAATAAAATGGTACCAAATTTTTGAATTGGTGGGAAAGTAAATTTTGTTCCAATGAAGATGTGTAAATTTGACATTTATACTTCCGGGAGATGTAAATTAAATTTGGATTTGTCTCAATGGAGATGTAAATTAATTTGGGCTCTAAAAAAAAGGGTAAATTCACAATCTATTAAATATTTACTACATCTTTCGTCCAAGATGAATATATTTTATTTTTCTCAAAAAAATTGCTCATGGGAGAGTTTTCCAACCAACAAGAAATGTATTATGTGTTACACATCTCTATTTGGAGATGCTCCAAGGAAAACTTGAACAAGGTCACACCATGTAAAATGATGTTACTGATACACTAGTTATGATGTGTGCACGATAAAATATATGCACAATAGATACCAGTGGATTTGGACTACTACATGTCGGTGTGACAGTCTTACTGAAAAGTTTACCCATGAGTGACCACCAATAAGGAAAATTAAGACCACCCATACTAGTCGGTTGGAAAATTATATTAACAGAAAATTAAAGGTTTAGGAGCCGTTTAATGACCAAAAAATGAATTAATTGAAGAGTAAACTGTCGGTTTACCCCCTGAACTTTCATCTCACTTTCGATTTCCCCCCTGAACTTTTCCATTGGAAAATTAAGGACTCAAACTAATTTTTTTAGCCAATTTGCCCCCTACCGTTAGTTTTTCATATATTCCATCCATATTTCCGTTAAGTGAGACCATGTGCACAACATGTGAGGGTAGTTAAGTTATTTCACTCTTAAAAATGATTAAAAAACTAAAAATAATAAAAAAAGCAAAACTTTCCCTCTATTTTTTCCCGCTAATTCCTATCCTCGATTTTATTTTTCCCTCTCATTCCTATGCATGAGAAATGACATATGGTGTTATTGTCTACCATTTTTATTTTCTCTAACAAATTAATAATTTGACAAATGATAATGGTGCTATTGTCTCCAAAGCAGTGCATTAATATAAGAAACCCTAGTCTTTTTTATGGACATGTTTCTTATATTAATGCACTGCTTTGGAGACAATAACACCATAAGCATTTGTCAAATTATTAATTTGTTAGAGAAAATAAAATGGTAGTACAATGCTTCAAAAAAAAGATTAACTTAGCTACTTATGAAGACAATAACACCATATGTTATTTCTCATGCATAGGAATGAGAGGGAAAATTAAAATTGAGGATAGGAATTAGTGGGAAAAAATAGAGGGAAAATTATTATTATTATTTATTTTCAGTTTTTAATCATTTTTAAATTGAAATGACTTAACTATCCTCACATGTTATGCACATGGTCTCACTTAACGGAAATATGGATGGAATATATGAAAAACTAACGGTAGGGGGCAAATTGGCTAAAAAAATTAGTTTGAGTCCTTAATTTTCCAATAGAAAAGTTCAGGGGGGAAATCGAAAGTGAGGTGAAAGTTCAGGGGGTAAACCGACAGTTTACCCTTAATTGAAAACGAAATGGTTAGCAAAAGGCACCTTGATTTGTAAAAAAACAATAAAAAAAGGGAAGCAGAAGAACCGTAAGACATAAATGAACATGAACATGAAAGGAGGTAATGATGTGTAGAAGAGTAGAAACTTGTTTGTAACTTCAAACGTACATAATTACAAACAGCAGAGGCCACTGTGCAAGGATAAAATCGTCTTTGACCTGCCATAATACACAATGTGCAGCACTGAACAAAAAGAGGGTCCATAAACCATCCACTATTACATTGAGAAGGGAACATTACAAGGGCACGTTTGGTACCCTCAACTCACACCGCGGTATATTGCACCCGGGCGAAGTTCATCCATATTTTCAATATTTCTGTACCCATCAAACTCCCTCAGACACGACCACCCCCTGCGGGACAGAAACTCGCGATAATCTTCTTCCGTGTAGAATAGCTTCTCCTCTGTATGTACTGGTATGTGGTCCGACTCGTCATAGAGGCACACTTTGATGGCCACCCCTGAAATTAGGACTTTAGCATCAAGTTTTCATTATGAAAGGGGGACCAAACGAAAATATAATTTTCAACCATTTTTTCATTTAGCCGATGGCTAAGTAACATTTAAATTCATTATGGTTGATATGTAACCTATACCTTCATCAAGATGAAGAGTGTAATTCCCGAGAGGCATGTCCCTGTCAAGACTTCGGACTATCTGGTCTTCATCCTCCAACCAGAAGGAGCGTTTTGTTCTCAACCTAAAAGCAGACTTAATTGCATCCTTAATGGCATCTGCGGTGCCATCGATACCAATCCTTCTAGTATAATCACCCCAAGTGACTAATATGACTCTACCACCATATGCTTGACCCTCCCCACCTGCCAAAAAAAAAGAAACGAAAAGAATTTGAAATAAATGAAGTATTGATAACATAATAACGATATATCTTGGGTGCTACTCATCCGCAAAAAATGTTGGAGCATAAACACATACAACAAGACACCCGTTGAGAAAATTTCACAACTTCAATTTAATATACTTACCATTTCCAGGGGTTTCTCTCCAATTCCATGGTGGAACTCCACCTGGTGTAACTGCATCAGCTGCAGTGATGGCAAGAGGGTGACCATCGTGATCCAAACGTCTTTCAAGATTGAGTGTTGGCCTGCCACTAGCTGCACACCAAGGAACTTAAAAAGAGAGGATAGATGTCTCTTTGAAAAGAAAAAATGACTTGGGAAAAATATTATATATAGAAGCAGAACATAGGACATGAAACACGCAGAGAAGTTAATATGCTTCAATTTTTCCTTACAAAGTGAAGAACTCATCATTTCCGGCCAAAACGAAAAGAAAAAACAGAAATCAGCGTTGACAATAAAAAAGAAGAAAAAAGCTTAATCACTGGTCATTGAATCTTGAATGCCATCTAGTATGCTAGTAATATCCAACATGAGCCATGAGATGAGCTATTTGAGATGGTTGTACCTGAATAACCTTAACGAACTGATCATTCCCCAAAAGATAAAGCAATCATAATTTCTTAGAGTGATCAAGAGTTATCAGGCTAGCCAGTAATTAGGTGATGAAACAACATAAACACCCACCAGAATACTAAAACTCAGATTAAATTTAATTAATTAATATAGCTTCAACAGGTGCAAAAGAAATGCTTGCATCTTCAATACCTACATGATCAGAAAATCAGTCAAATGGATTTTCAACTACATAGACAATGGAGAGGTGCGGAAAGAAGAAGTCATTTATGTTGCAAAATTTTCACCCATATGAACTAGTTATAACATTTCACCCCTAAATCCAAGTCCAACTAGGTGATGCAATAGCAGAACTTTCAAAAGAAAAGACTAAAGAACACAAGGCACTACCCAAGTGAAGGAAAAGAAAAGGAATGAGTTGTGCAATCCCCCATGCAGCACTTGATGCATAAGGAACATGGACGGAACATGGGCAAGGATCACCTGAGCTGCAGTGCTCCCCAAATTAGGACAAGAAAAGGAAAAAAAATGAAAACCTATAAGAGCCAGCCCAGCCCATTCCTAACTTTCCCCCACCCCACAAGGTAAGGTCACACAGCCCACCCCAAATTGCAAGGCCGCTTAAAACAGCGCAACTCAACAGATAAGTCCCCCCATTGTCCGTTTACAGAAGTTATGCATTTCTTGCAACTTCACAACGTGTCGTTATTTGATAAAGTCTTTAGAGCGCACTATAGAAAATGTAACATCCGAAGTTGATGTCAGTGGATATCATCACAGGAAATGGTGTTTTATACAGCCTACAATGTCTAGAACAGATGCCAGAGTACCATTAAGACGGAAAAAAACAACCACGACACAGAAAAATAATTAGACATGAAAAATTTCCTTGTATATAAGATTTGTTTTGTATGAAGCAGTGCCTTCAATACTTTACTAAATACTACACAACATCTCATGCGCGTCAACATGCTTTGAAACCCAACATACGACACCTCTATAATAAAAAATGATAAGAAAAAGGACAAATTCAATGCGTTGCCACAATAAGCCAATACCTTATGCATCTTTTATAATATAAAGCAAATGCAAACAGAGTACATTTCCAAACTAGAACACTAGAAAACCCAAACATTCTTTCTTGCTTCTAGCCTCATATTTCTGTTCATTTATGTAAAGCACAAGATTGTTGGGAAACAATCATATTAAGTGAGCTTCCATTCTCAACCAAGTCTCGACCAAGAACAAAATGACTTTTGAGTTTGACTAGGTTACAATAATCTGTTAATTTCCCTCCACTGGTTTATTAGATGTGCAATCTCATAGCCAAAACTGGAAAATACATCCAGACTGCATATTAAGCGTAATGAACCTCAGCCTCACCCAACCCAGTATTCCAGATCGCAATCAAGTGGTGTGCAACATACTCAAAACTAATTTACCGCACAGTCCGTTTCCGATAAATAACATCAAATCACATCATGATTTTCATATCTTGTATTTATCGTTAGCCATCACACCCAGATGTGCATGCAGAATTATCATATCTATGTCTTAGAGAGCAATTATTGCAGGAACTACTCAATTCATCTGCAGTTTGAAGACGATGACTTAACTACGGTCATACTCCACATTACTAATTATAGCCATTTCCATAGACAGAAACATTTCTAAATTGAAACAATAAATGAAACCCTCTAAATTTATTTTCTAACAGATTAATAATGTACCAAATTCAGAGAAACATGAACCACTTACACAAATGGAAAAACTACAGAAAACCAACATATACATAAAAGGGAAGACAACCAATCCCAACCCCTCTAATTTAAGAATTTTCTTCAAAACACTAAAATTTTCAGCTCAAGTTTAACAACCCCACCTCGAATTGGAACACAAATATTCAGACAGCAACCTGAAAATTCAGAAAAAAAGGAAAGAAAAACTCGATACCTTTATCCGAAAATTGCACGAAAGAATCGACCTTTGGGAGAGTGGGGCTTTTGTGCTGCGGATTCTTGCTTCTCTCCTTCAAAATCTCCTCAATCTCCTTGTAATACGACATCTTTGCAGACCCACTTCCCCTATCATGGTGCTTAGCCTTCTTGAACTCCTTCAGCAAGTTCCTCCACTTGTCCGTGCACATCGTCGGCGACCGATCGAACCCTTTTTCCCTCATCTTCGCCGAAATCTGCTCCCACAAGTGCTTGTTCGACTTGGAGGTGTTGAACAAGCTGTCCATCTCGCGGCGGAGGGCTATTAAGCTACGGGTCTCGTCTTGCACCCAAGTCTCAGCTCGCTTCTTCGGCGCCCTCACTTCGTGGTCCTCTCCGCTGCTGTCCCCCATCAGCATCTGCTGCGGCGGCGGCTGGTGGAGATGAGCTTGAGATTGGGATTGGGAGAGTTCGTTTGAAACGACCACCTCCATCATCATGTCCCGACTGCCTTCCTCCTTGTAGAAATCGATTGGTTGAGGCTTCTCCGAGTACATGCCGTGGGTGTGGAAATTAAAAATATGAGTTTGCTGAAAAGGGGAGAGAGTTGTGAATGTGGGTCCGATTCCGACTCAGACGGATAGTGGGAGGAGGAGGAGAACAAGAAAGTGAAGTACTTAGCAGCAGCAGAACTAACCCATTTTTGTTACTTTTTGCAGTCGGTGAGTTTTGGGGTTCTCTCAGCTCCGAGACAGAAAGAGCTCTCTAGAGAGAGAAATGAGAGAGAAGCTAGAGAGAGGGGAGGAAAGTGCTTGAATTTAAAGCTCTTGTCTTTTGATTAGCGAAAGAAGGAAGAAAAGACTTCAGCTCTCTCTCCTCTCTCCTCTCTCTCTGGTTAATGAGCTACTCAAAGTTCCGAACTTTAATCGCTGCGTTTACAGCCGCTTTTAGTAAAACGACGTCGTTAATAGACAGGTAAAAATACGTGGCGTCTTGGATTTCGGAAAAATGTTATCATCTAGACTGCTACCCGCCTTAAAATCTTCTTCTCTCTCTAAAATTTTGCCAGAAACAAAACCCTAAAAATGGTTGCCGGAAATTTGTGAGAGATGAAGCTCATCCAAGTCTCTGCCGCCCGGTCCAGAGCTTCTCTGTATTTTATTCATGGAGGAGTGACCTCTCGGACTCCCAAGCCACGCCCTGCTTCCTCTGCAGCTCCCAAAGTCGGAACCTTTAGTCGGAGCCGTCTCTCAGGTATTAAATCAAACACCTTCGGTGCAATATGTTTTTTATCTCCCTCATTTTCGAATTAAGGACTGCTAATCATGTGGGTTTTGTCTCTGAAATCGAATTGAGAGATTGGGGGAGGAAGTTGAGCTTTGTGGGTTTTCTACTTTCTTTTCCTCGGTAGCATTATTTGTATTTAGAGTAAGCATTCGTCCTTTGATTATCTTGTTTTCGAATGTTTCGCATTTCGAATACCGTGAATGGAATGATGCATTAAGTAGGAAGGATCGAATATTCAGTTCCTTCTCTGATAGAAGGATCAGTACTTGTCGTGAAGGAGGAACAATAGAATATGCTTCGCTTTCAGTTTTTTGTTTATTAAGGAGAAGATTACTGCCTGTTTGTGTAATGTTAAATGCGCCGAAGAAACCTATTTCGCGTTGTTTCTGATGAATTTTGTGTGTTGATTTTGTAAATCAATGCCGCAATGTTTTCGTGTCAAATGTTGATAAAAATATCCATTCAAAGAAGTTTCTTCAACTAAACTTTCAAGCAGTGTGTGGCTTTTGCAGGACCCTTCAACGAAACAAAGTAGCTATGGATGGCATTGTCAGATCAGCAACAAGTAATGCCTATTGCTCCATGTTCTGCAGATCTCACCATAAAGCAGTAGCATTGCTATCCTCAAGAAAGATATGGTTTAGGAAAGATATTTTGAGACCTTTTTCCACGTGCACCGAACCATTGATCTCTCCAATTTCCCCTCTTATCATTCGTCGCCCCCCATCGTCGCTAGTGCTAGCCACCCGGCTTTCACCATCTGATGCTCCCCAGCGATCAGAGGAGTGGTTTGCCCTACGCAAGGACAAGCTGACCACGAGCACCTTCAGCACTGCCTTGGGATTTTGGAAGGGGACACGCCGGCCAGAGCTCTGGCAGGAGAAGGTATTTGAATCCGAGAAACAAATTGTGGAAGCTTCTAAGAGAGCCATGGAGTGGGGCGTGCTCAATGAAGAAGTGGCCATTGAAAAGTACAAAAGCATCACAGGTCGCGAAGTGAGTTCATACGGATTTGCTACCCACGCAGATGAGCGATATGGTTGGATTGGTGCCTCCCCTGATGGTCTTCTCGAGGGTCTTATTGATTGCTATCAAGGTGGTGGGATACTGGAAGTGAAGTGTCCGTACAACAAGGGCAAGCCAGACAAGGCTCTTCCGTGGTCAACCATGCCTTTCTATTACATGCCTCAGATGCAGGGCCAAATGGAGGTAATGGACAGAGAGTGGGTTGATCTGTACTGCTGGACACCGAATGGAAGCACAATATTTCGCGTGTGCAGGGACCGGAGTTATTGGAACTTGATGCATGGAATTTTACGGGAATTCTGGTGGGAAAATGTGGTTCCGGCGAGGGAGGCTCTATTGCTGGGGAAAGAAGAAGAGGCCAAGCAATATATTCCGACTTCCACACACAAACAAACAGGGCTTGCCATTGTCAAAAGCTTGAAGCTTGCCAGTGAGTCTAAGCTGTTGTGCAGAGAAATTGCAGGTCATGTCGAATTTTTCTAGACGTAGGTTCAAGTCAAGGGATGAGGGAAATTGATCCATATTTTGTTTCCCCTACCTTTGATGCTTTAAATTGTAATCCTACGGTTCGCGATTTCATTAGTCAATTGTATTGCATCTCATGGTGTATTTATATAGTTCGATTATTTCTGGTTCATTAGATACTTTTGGTTAATTTTGACCGAATTAGAGATTTTAAACATCTGTAACGGTTTATTTGTTTTGAATTTGCTTCTTTTATTTTGAATGAACACCTTCACCAGTCAAGAATTTTCCTCCATTTCTGTCCGGAACATCGGCATATGCACGAAGCATCATGTAATCTCAGCGAGATTATGGAAATACCGACGACATTGGAGAAGAAATGGCTATCTAAGATGATAAAAATACCACTTTCCAAAACAGGCATTGTCTGAATGGCATGGTTAGTTATAATTTACAGGGCTTAGCATGGATGTAGATTTTAGAGTTTGACTTGACTGCTCGTTGCCTGCTGCTAGACTCGGTCAACCGCCGTTGATAGAAATGGCAAAATCTTGCGTGTAATCAGTTATTTATGGTCGTTGTATATTTTTTACATCACATGAATTCCGACAAAAGAAAACGAGTTTATTACTAACTACTTTAATCCAATAAGGAACATGACCGAATTAAGGATAATCGAGTTGGTTCGAGAAATATCGGGTTACATAATAAGCAAAAGACCGTTGGACAAATTTCTAAACTTGTTCATCAAACGTAACGAACTACTGCCAAACAATTTTCCTTTCGATCAAATTAAAGGAAAAAACAACACTGGATTAAAATAAGCAAACTAACCCTTTTGAACAAATTGCCAAAGCTCTGTCGCTAAAAGAAGTTTTTAACCTCTGAAAAGAAGAACACAAGAGAAAGAAAAGAAAAAACGAAGAGGACAATGGATTCTGGTCTGTCCTGGGCTGATCAATGGGACAACAACCCCGACCCGCCGCCATCGGGATCATCCGACAAGGACAAGAAGAAGGGCAAGGATGGATCGAAGAGTAGCTTCGGGAAGGCGATTTTGAGCTTCAAGTGGGTGGAGAAGCTCAAGAAGAAAACTCAGAAAGAAGATGGGCAATAAAACACTACACTGTTGAACAATGTAGCTTCTTCCAGCAATATATATTGTCACTAACCAGTTAACCCCATTTGTCTTCATATTTTCTGTTGAAAAAAATGGTTTAATGCTAAAAAAATTCAATTAATTTTCTCGTTTTTCTCGGCTAATTTACAATCAATGTTATTGCTTGCTGTAAATTAACATGGAACATCATGAAAATGAGAAGTAACGTATAACCGGTACGTTACTATAGAGGTATATCAATCAATCACGTATTGTTTTGCATTTGAATTTTCCAATGTGACATTGCGTGATTTGCTTGAGATATCGCCATATGAGCATCTCGTTGCATGAATATCGATTGTCATAAGCGGTCGTGTCCGTGACAAACGCATGGATCCGTCTCTGTTGCCAACAAGAAGTAAAATGTGCAGCAAAAATGGATGTCTTCCTTCGTTTCTGAGCGAATATTTCAGTTAGCCCCACGCAAGAAATGTGAGCGTATATATGATCAATGTCGTGTTGAGTTCGACCACGCATGTAAGGCGAGAGAAACATCCTTGCGCATGAGATGGCAACGTTATGATGACAATGTTTCAAGTCAATCACGCATTATCATGTGAGAAAAATTAATTTTATCCGCATCCTCGACATAATTATATATGTAAGAAAGAGCTATCAAAAACGTGAATAATCTTTTTCGTAGACCTAGAGCATCTCTAATAGGAGATGTAAAATGTCAATGTTTGAGCACTTTACATTTCTAGTTGGATGGAAAACTCTTCAATAAACAGAATGTAAAATAATCATTTTGGCCGAAAAATGTACATATACATATTTCAAAGCTAGGCCCTAATAATTAAAGCAAAAAAAATTAGATCTCAAATTTACATACGCTGAATTGAGGTATAACTCATATTTACATATCTTAAAAATATAAAATAAGATGTAAATGTGATGCTCATACATAACCAAAACACACTTCTTCCTTGCCTCCACTTCGAGGAAGAGTAGGAGCTAAGCAAACTTTTGAAGGGTCGGCTTTGTAAGTAAGATGCATTCTTTTTTTTTCTGGGTAATGTTAAGAAGACTAAATTTATAGATAAAATTTACAAGCTAAATGATGTCTCACCAATATGAATGAGTACGTTTATCAGCATTCAAGTAATAATCCAATCATTAACTTACATATCATTTAGTTTACACAATTTAGTCTACAAATTTAGTCTCTGTAGTATTACCTTTTTTGTGTTCCTGTGTAGTATTTGCAAATCTTTGTGAAACTGGTAAGTTCTCCATCTCACAAATCCGTAACCAAATTGACTAGAACAGTCTACTTCTGCCCCAACTTCGATAGGGACAACATTGTCACAAAACATGCTCAAAGGATCAACAATTGAAAGGATTAAGGCCTCAACGATCAACGTATGTGCCAATGGAGAAAAATATAAAAGATGAAAGAACATGTGGGAAAATCGTAAGATAAAGAGAATAATACATCCAAGGAAAGTGGAAAATAGAGAATACACATAGCAAGAGCAACACTTTTACATAAAACCATAACTTGATTGCCAAAGTACATTTTACAACATTCGTTTCGACCGAAAAGAAGCTGATAACTTTGTGCTCTATGCACACACGAAAGATAACATACAGTGAAGTTGCCATAAATCGTAACTGAGACAGACGAAAGTCGTCCTCCAAAGCAAGAACAATGTACCAGCACGGCCTTCTATGGACAACGTACAAGCCCCGTCACTTATTAACAACGTACATGCCCCGTCTTTTATGAACAACAATGTTTCCGGTGGCAGGAAACAATAGTAGCTTCGTTCTTGACTAAACAAGAACAAATCTGTGGAGTGGCATTATATATGACAATGGAGGAAAATCAGTACAGTGTATAAAGCCAGGTAGAGGATCCAGTCCTGCTCAGGGCTTCATCACAAATAACAGGTCACAGAAGAGCATGCTACTGCAGCAGCAATCTTCGAAACATAAACTGCTGCACAACTGGAAAAAATGAACAACGTAACTCCTTGTATGACTGCGAGAACCCACCTACTTCACGCTTCAAACACTTCACAAGTAACCAACGACCGCTTCCATGCGCCAGCATAGAGTTCACGGAGCACAATGGATGATGTACAACGAATAAGTTACCATTCCACTTTGCTCTCTACAAGTAGTAGTTCCCTACCGTTTACTGCTCTGGTAGGCTACCTCACATCTTGGTTAGATGCTAACAGACTTCATACACAATATTCAAAGGCAAATGAACATACTGCTCGTAGAACATTTATTCATGCCACAGCCAACTAACGGAATCACCAGAACAAAATTCCCTGCCGTGGACAGTGGATGCAGAACTTTGTTCACAATCTCCTTCACCCCTAAAATTTCCATCTCTTTTGTTTTTATTTTTTAACATTTTTTTTTCTATTCATCACAACGTACTAGCAGTGGTCTCGGAGCCCCAGATGAGATACAAACCGCCAAAGCTGAAGTCAACCAATAGACTAAGCCCAACAAAGCCAGCTGACCAAGCGGTATGAGATAAAGGAACCATAATCTTAAACTGATTGGATACCTTAGTAACCCCTTGTAATTTACTCATCCATAATACGGAACCAGCAGATCTACAGAACCAACAGAACCTAGCCATGCCGACCAAAGGTATCATTCCGTTCATGGAGAACAAAAGGTTTGGATGGACCGTATGTTCCGTCCTGTGTCTCTTGAGACTCAAGTAGCTGGTTCCAACAATCTGAGCAAAGCAACTCCAAACAAAATGTTTCCTCATATTCACAATCATTAACGCACCGACCACACTGAATACACCTCCCTATGCAAAGTGTGCAGGCCCTGCATACCTGAGTTGGATGTTCTTTCCTTTGACAAGCCTCGGCAGGGCAATCATAGACAAGCCTCAGGTTCTGGCATCTGGGGCACATTTCAATATCAATGTCGCTATCATCATCAGAGGGCAGGTAAAAGTTCCCTCTGTGATAAAAGTGTGGCTTGCGTGAATTAGGCTGCATCTGACTGTCAGTTCGCAACAAGAACTTCAATTCTTCAAAATGCTTCTGTGTCACACCATATAGTCCACCAATTCGTAAATGCCTCACACCTTGTGCACCCTTAGAATTGAAAGCCTTTAAGCTATTCACGATGCCCTCAATACTGAGTCTAGTACATCCTGGCACGCTCAACTGCACAAACAAAGGGAACGTTTAAATGAAGTTAATGAGCTTGAAAAACAATCAAATTTTTCTTCACTAGAGTTAACTTTGGTGCGATGGCAAGTGCCTTCGCCCATGAGCGGTAGGTCTCGGGTTCGAGACTTGGGAGCAGCCTCTCCATAAAATGGGGGTAAGGCTAGCCGACATTCACCTCTCCCAGACCCTGCGTAAAGCGGGAGCCTTGTGCACTGGGTACGACCTTTTTAGAGTTAACTTTGAGCACAAGTCAAAGAAATTTAAGGTAAACAAGTAATAACCATGAATGGTGGTGCAGAGATATATATTTCTTGTAAAGAGACAATAATAAAAAAAAATTGAAGGAAAAAACACTTGCAATTGTTGAGATAAAATCCAGAAGCCAAAAACTAACCTTGGTTAGCCTGGGATTACTTTCAAGCACACGCTTCAGACCATCATCAGTGATCCTTGGGCACTCCACTAGGCTCAAGCTCTGCAGATTTCCTTGAGCCCGATCGGTTAATTGCAAGAGAACATCATCGGTAATCTTCTCGTTCAGCGGTTGATCTATGTGAATATTTCTCCACAAAAGGGGGTCACCGCGAACTGTAGAACGGAGAGATCTGCAAGTACCTTCTACATGAAGAAGATCCTGCACCCCCAGATAACTAAGGGCAAACATCATCGCCCCATGAGGAGCTCCTCCATCACCACCAGCGCAAATCCCATAGCCATGCTGGACTTCTACATTTTGCTGATTGGAAAAACCACAACTTTCATTGCCCAAATTCAGAACATCAGCGACTGGACATGCTGATCCAAAATCGCTGTGTAAGGACGCATCACCAACTCCCTTCTCTTTTGAGCACCCACAGAATCCACTTGCTACATTAGCCTTGTGATCAACCCCAATTTTCCCAGGGAATGCCTGGAACCTCATAGCATTATTCCAGATAAAATTCAATTCCGCGAAAAGTTCGTAGTTATCATTACTTGTCCCCACCTCATCCCTTCTGTAACCACCATAGTCCGCTTCCAAATCCTCAAGCCAGCCCGTGATAGCCGTAAACGTGGTACTTATATCCATGCCAAAAGGGTCCGAAGGCAATAGATCAAGAATGTCATTTGAAACTGGATCCTGTGAGCAACTCCTATCACATCTATCTCTTCCATAATCAAAGCAATCATTCACTTCCCGGTTTGAATGCCAAGGCCTACCAAAACCATCTCCATTCCTCTCAGGTATACCCTCCACGAGGTACCCATTGGCAATCCTCATTGGAGAAACCAAATTGTCCTCGGACAGATGCCCCGGAAAGATTGGTCGATGGGAAAAATTCAAAGCCATTGAATATACACCCCGACCAAATTTCTCTCTACATAAGTCTATACACAAACCCTAGATTTTTGAACCCTTTTTCTCTCTTTTTTTTTTTCGATTAACCAAGTAAGTGTGGGAAAAATTAGAAAAATATGTAACAAGGGGAAGGAAGATCTAACAAGAAAACCCTCAATTTCTGATGGCAAACTAAAACGACGCCCAAAAATTTCACAGAGTCTCTTGCAAATAACCTAAAATCAGCTGGAATGGAAACGAAAAAACCAACGCCGTAACCAATTTATCTACAGAGATAAGAATCAAAGAATTTAACTTTTTTTGGGGGTTTTTTTATTCGACTAACCTAGGGTTTATACGAAACGACAAAAAAACAGATACCCAATAGAGAACGGATCAAAGAAACAAAGTTTCGATAAATTGGAAGGAGAAACTGATAATTCGAGGGATACCCAAATGAAATCAAATCAGAAACAAATCGAAACAATTACCACCAACCCTAGTTTTTGCTCTGACGAACGCAATCGACAAACCAAAGCCGCCTCCTGGTACCGAACCCTCGCAGAATAAGAAGACGAAGGAGAAAAAGATATCAGCTTTCTGCTCGATTCGATTGAAATTGTAGGGCTTTCAGAACATTCTGCTCTTTTCCGAGGTGGGGAATCGATCCGAACAGAGGACGAGCGCTTGTCGATCGAGTTCAGAGAGAGAGAGAGAAGGAGAAACGCCTAGAAAATTGAATAAACGTGTAGAAATAATAAAAAAAAGAGGCGAGAAAAATATTAAGGGAAGAGAGAGAAAGTGAAGGGTGAGGGTGAATTGTCCAATTTAGGAGAGAGAGGGTGGGGAGAAGGACACGTGTCGGTAGTTGGAAAGAGTTACTGCTTCTTCGCAGTAAGATATGGCGGGAGGAGGAATCCTTGTTTCGCTCTGATTCCCAAGTGCCTCTCGCCTTCTCCCCCGCCCCCATCTCTCGCTCTCTTTCAACTCTCTCACCTTCCAAATTAAATTAATTAATATCTTTTTTTATATTAATAATTACACCTTGTATTTCAGGTTTTTTGCCAATTGGGTCTCCATTTTTTGAAATTGGACAAAGGGAAAATTTTGAATTACGAATTGTACACTATAACTTAAGAAATTAATGGAAAATAAATAAGAACATTGTTTAAGAAAAGTATACCCTTTAAATGTAAAAAAATAACTCACGTAACACATTTTGACATCTAGTTAAGCAATATATACTCAAAGAATATTTCCATATGAAAACAAAAATCACTTGATATTTTAATGAAACGAAAGCTCAGTGAAAATTACCATTTTCTTAATGTATTTTATTTTTCCTTTTTGTCTTAGTAAAATTCTTATTTATGAAAACTATACTTTTTAAATGTATAAAAATATAACTCACATAACACATTTTGGCATCTAATTAAGCAATATACACTCAACAAATATTTTCGTATGAAAACATAAATTACCTGATATTATTAACGAAACGAGAGCTCAGTGAGAATTACCATTTTCTTAATGCACTTTTTTACCCTTTTTGTCTTAGTAAAAATTGGATTTGGGTTTCCATTTGTGACCGTTTGACGTTGCACATCAGGTGGAGGGTAAATAAGTCATTGAGGATGGGAGGTTTACAGTTTGGTGGGTGAGCGTAAGTTGGAGGGAAGAGAGGCCGTGTTTGGGAATGTGTGTTGGTAGAGTTTCTTTCTGTTTGGAGGTTCGATCTTCTCCGAATTCTCTTTGTGAGAGGATTCTGATAATTTTTAAATCGTGTCCGTTCATCATACATTGTGAGATTAAAAATTATTTTAAATAATTTTATTTAAAATTAAATATTTTATTTAAAATTAAACATGAACAATACATGATAAAAACTGATCGTACAATATACGATAAACCAACCCAACGAATGAATTCCAGAATCCTCGGATCCTCTTTCCTGCTTCCAAGCGGTCAAGTTGCTGACGTGTCACACAGGGACCCACTTTTACGCGTGGTAGATTTAATTGGGCCTCGATGGCTTTCGGCATTATCTATTAGGATAATCCGAACCCTACCCCTTTCCCAAGTTTTTCTTTTTCTTCCGTCAAAAGTTCAAAAACCCCTTGGGGAAGTTCATCTTTCCTTTTTCGTCCTAACCCCTTTCACAAGTGAATTTACATTTTTACCCTTTTTGTATGTTGATTTATTTATTCATTCATTTGGTTATTTAGGTGAATTGATTGATTTATTTGTTTTGTTGCTTTGTTTATTGGTTGGTTGTTGATATGTGGGGCTTGAAAATGGAGAGGTAATGAAAATCTATTGTATAGTCTAACCAAAATATAACAAATTACTTTTAGTGGAAATTAATATTATTTTTTTGTTTATAAAAATGAAAAATAAGAAGAAATTAATGGCTTTGAAATGGTCCAAGCCTTGGAGGAGAAGTAATGAAAAAAAATGTGTAGATTGATATTTTTTCTCAAGTGCGTTAATTGAACTTTTATATAATACAGATATATCATTGAAACGTTGATGATAGAATTGATATTGCTGATACGTCAATACTTCGACTTTTAAAAACGTTGATATGGTTGTTGATGTTTTGTCGATAAACTGAACAGAAAAATGCAAATAAACCTTAACAAATAAGCACTTAGATGAACACATTCTAGAATGTTTTCGGCTTTTAACCAATATAAAAGAGATGCTTAAAACAAAATAATGAATAAAAACAGTAGGAAATATATGTATAAATAAATAAGTTTATTTCTTGGACGTTAAGGAGAGAGACGGGAGGGTGACCAATTTCAAGGGCCAAGAAATCTTGATAACTTGGAGTTCTCAAAGATGCTCTTTCGGCAAGCATCTCACAACTCACATTCTCAAGGAAATCCGCACTTCCAAGGCATCTGCACATTTCACGCCACTAAACAAATCCATTCCCCGCTCAAGCACAAAAAATGCCCGTGAGATTTCTGGTGCATGCATTCACAACGCATGAAGCTTTGGCATCCGGTAACACGGGGACGGAGATAAAGAGACTTGCTTGAAACGGGACAAAAACTGTCAAATTTATCACGCGTTGCTACGGAAAAATAAAAACAAAGGTTTTATATTATTCGCTTGGACGCTACAATGGTGTCCCGACGGGTGCATGTAATGTAAGAACTCATGGAGTTGGGCACAATACGTAACAAAATACACCAAATTGGAATAATGGAGTGAAACATCAAATCACAGCTGAAATTCACAAGACATAAAAATCAAGTTCTGAACCCATTTTCCTATGAAATTCGTCATTTTTGATCGTCTTGAATCAGAAGCAGAAAAAAGGCCAATAATTTAACTACAAAATCTCTCTCTAGTCACTAGGGCACCAAATTAAATTGTCTAATTCTGCAACCTGTCACAAAAATCAACCCGGAAAATTGGATCCTTATCACTAGTTCCTAGATTTTTTTCGCGACTTTGATGAAGAAGGCTTGGATGGCTCTGCAACTGCATTTTGGGAGGCTCCTTTTGAGGTAGCTGCTTGGTTTGATTTTGTGTTTGAAGTGTTGGAAGCGGCACCAGTTTCATGTTTATCTCTAGCTACAGAACCCTGGGAGCCTCTTACCTGAGCTGCTCTTTTATCCTTTCTCTTGGGCCTGTAACTTGACCTTTCTCTCTTGGGGAGCCACCTCTCGGGATCTGGCGGTGGCCCCGGGTTTGCAGGGTCAAACCCTTTAGGATACTTTGGCTTTCTCTTTCTCTTTCTCTTTGCCTTGGCCTTAGTCTTCCCCTCATCATATGTCTCCGTGATCTTAACATGAGATACACCCTCATTGTGTTTGGCCCCAGAAGTCTTCTCCAGACTATCCACATTGACCCCCTTCAAACCTGGTAACGGTTTCAGCTTCTGCTCATAAGCTTCTGCCTTCTTAACATCCACACGAGCAACTGTAGTTACAAGCCCAACCAATGCTTCCACACTTCCATGGCTTTTCACAAGCTCCTCATATAGACGGGCAGCCTCCTCTTCTCGGCCATGCCGGAGCTTGAACGAAGCAGCCTCTTGCATTAAAACGCTAAGCTTATTGTCCTCAGTCATGGCATTTGACCACCAGTTGATTGCAGCATCAAGAACAGCAGTTGCACCATCAATGTCCCCGGCACGCTCTCTAAGAGACACAAGAGTAGCAACAGTGGCAGGCATGTGCTGTATATCAGGTATCTTACCAAGAGACTCAGCTGCAATAAGAGGGTGGCCAGCAGCAGCAGCAACCTGTGCCCTCACTAAGAGAACCACCTTGGATTTGTCAGGGAACTTCTTGGAAAACTGCCCTAAAATTTCTTCAGCTTTCCCAGCCCTGTTCTCTCTTACAAAAACTGCAGCTTGAAGTAACACAGGCATCACGCTATCAGGAAACATGTCAGGCAGTGCAGCAACGATTTCTCGAGCCTGTAAATTTGAAGCAAAGAGTTGAGATCAGCAAAGGGGAGCTGGAGCACCAATAATGGCCTACTTATGTGATAGATTCACAGCATAGTACTCGAAAAGACATAAAAAGCAAAGAGAAAGACCTGATCCATTTTATTCGCATGGAGTAGTAGAAGAACCCGGTTCACGTATATTGATTCTTTTTGTTTTGGTGAAAGCTTGTTGTCTAGTCCAGGAGTCATATGGAAGTTTTGCTTGTCCTTATCTTTTAGTCGATCAAGTTTCTTCAGGCCATCAGAAACATCTCTTGGACCTCTCAAAGCAATGAGGTTGTTGACTGCCACACCAAGCGATACCTCATCTGCCATATCTTGTTTAATAATGTCCGTATAAGCTTCGATGGCCTCTTGTTTCTGCCCAAGAAGCTGTTGGAAGAAGTTAATTTTCATCAGTGGCTATTGGATTCCTAACTTTGCAAAAGATAAGAGAAAATTCTACTTAACATTACAATATTACCTGCTGAACATAGGCCAACTGGACAGCTATTGGCGCCAATTCAATTTGTATTTTGTCTTCAGGTACATTATCAGAGAAGAGTTCTTCCTGGCCAATTCTGAGATACCAAGTGATTCACCTCCATCAGTTCATTCTCACTTTCAGATAAGAGTTTCTATAGCTCAATTTGTATTGTATAAACACAATGAAAGGCTGTTTAGTAGCAAAGTGAATGGTGGTTTTAAGAATATTACTAAAGGGACACGTTGAACTAAAATACAAAAACAATTCATGAGAAATTATTACTGAGGGAGGAAATGATTAACACTTTTACATATGACTTTATCAGGGGATTAATGAGGGGAAAACCAGATCTACACAAAAACTTTTTAGTCCGTGATACTTAGGCTCAAAATTTCTTCAAAAGATACTCTAAAATCAATCCAAACAAAATTTATAGCGTTGTATTACAAATTAAGGACAGAGAAATAGTAACAACCAAAAGCATTTACTGCCTAAAATATGACTTGCTTGGGAGTTGTCAAATTCAACAAATAAAAGTAACATTTTACCTTCTGGCTTTCAGAAGGAGCTGCTCTGCCTCTGTATACTTTTGCAATTGAACCAAAGAACAGGCAGTGTTGAATGCAAGCATAAAACTGTTAGTTGCTTTAACCCCAAGTGCTTCCAGTGTACGTTTAACTTCAGATGCCCTTCCAGCTGCAACCAAACTAGCTGCAGAATTTATCTCTAACAATTCGACCTTGGGTTTTGGAAGGTTCTGATATATATCAATACAAGCATCCATCTTTCCTGAGCGAAATAAAATCTGGGATTCTAATATCATGGTTACAGAATC